GAAGACAATCATGTTAACGACAATCATCCGCGACAGAGAGTTTCTCGCCCTCATGTTAACGACGGCGAACGAGGAAGAAGAAGCGAACGAGGGAGCAACACCCACACCTGCTCAAGCACCTGACGAAGACCCCGCAGAAGCACTCGCGCGCTACATGCGCACCTCTGGATTCCGCGCTGACGATGCCATCTGGCATCAGCGTCTGGGTCACCCTTCGCGCGTGACCCTCAAGAACTGCATTGAGGTCGGCGTCTTCGCACCAAGCGCACTGTTGCGCCCTGACGGCTCCGAAGTAAGAGGCGGAACTCAGCCGCGCACCTGCACCATCTGTCCCGAAGCTGCGCTGAGTCACCAACCCTTCCCCCTGCTCGAGCCAGGAACCAATCGATACGCCAAACTGGAGAAGGTTTACAGTGAATTCCTCAACGTAGGACACTGCGGCATCAACGACGAGCTTTACACGCTCACCTTCGTCGACGCCGGAACGCGCCACGTGTGGGTCGTAAACGTGGAAGCGCGCAGCAGAGCCTACGAAGCATTCCGCCTGTGGCTGGCGCACGCGCAGCGGCAATCTGGGGAGAAATTGAAGATCTGGCAGTCCGACGGCGCAGCAGAGTTCAGGAGCAAAGAGCTGCAAGATTACCTTGCGCAAAAGGGGATCGAGCACCACATCTCTCTCCCCTACGCGCACCAGCAGCAGGGCATAGCAGAACGCACGAATCGCACTCTCATGACTAAGGTGCGAGCGTTAATGAAGCAGTCGAAGCTTCCGCCGATCTACTGGACCTACGCAATGCACCACGCCGTACGGGTGCACAACCTGCTGTCAACCACAGCGATCACCGGCAACTCCTCGCCACACGTGAAGTGGACGGGAAGGAAGGGCGACACCTCCATGCTTCGCGTCTGGGGGTGCATGGTTCAATACCGCCCGCCAACGTCAACCATCGGGAAATTTAAGAGCCGCGCGCGCTGGGGAATCCACCTCGGCATCAGCCACGAACACAAGGCGTGGATCGTTTTGGATCTCCTGAGCCAGAAAATCAAGAATGCGCGCGACGTCATCTTCTACGAGCGGCTCTTCCTGCGGCAGTTTCGCGAAGACGAGCAGACGAATACGAACCGCGTCTGCGCCAACGAGGGCCACAGCTACGCCTCACCTGAGGACGAAGCCGCAGCAGCAATTCTGGAGCAAGACCCCAGAGGGGAGTTCACGAGGGGCAATCGTCGCGACGACGACGACGACGATGACTCAGGAGAAGGAGGAGCGGGCGCAACGGGAGGCGCAACGGGAGGCGCAGCAGGAGGAAGCGGAAGTGGCGGAGGCGCAGCACCACCAGCGCCACCTGAACCAGAAAGCGACGATGACGACGTGCAGGAAGTCGTCACACAGCATCGCCACGACAGCACTGTCACTGGCCTTCAGCTCCTAGGACTTCACGCTGCCACCTCCACGACACCGCGCATCATCGAACCAAAGAACCCGCGCCAAGCCCTCACAGGGCCGCACAGCAAGGAGTGGCGCGAAGCAATGGATGCGGAAATCAAAGCGCTGGAGTCCCGCGACACCTGGGTGCTCGTCGACCGTGCAGCAGTGAAGGGGAGAAGGATCCTCTCCGGCAAATGGGTCTTCCGCGTGAAGACAGGAGCTGACGGGACGATCGAGCGATTCAAGGCACGCTGGGTGGTGCGAGGCTACGATCAGAGGCATGGGATTGACTTCGACCAGACGTTCGCACCGGTCAGCCGTCACACGTCCGTCAGAATTCTCCTTGCCATCGCAGCCGCACGACACCTGCCGCTCCGACAGATTGATGTGAAGAATGCGTTCCTATACGCGCTAGTAGATGCAGTGATCTACGTGGAGCAGCCGCGCACTTACGGCGAAGGAGATTCGCGCGTCTGTCAGCTGAGGAAATCCCTTTATGGGATCAAACAGGCGCCAAGACTCTGGCAGCAGTACCTGCACAACATACTGCTTGAAATCGGCTTCAAGCAGATGCCTCACGACCCTGGGATGTATCGCCGCGATTTCCGCGGCGAATACATCCTACTCACGGTCTACGTCGACGACCTCCTCTACAAAGGGTCAAGCAACGAATTGCTCCAGCAATTTGAGAAGAGCCTCGCAGGGCGCGTCGACATCACCTGTAACCATGACGTGAAGCAGTTTCTCGGGCTGAACATCACCTACTCGCCAGAAGCCATTCATCTCTCAGCTGCGAAGTATGCAGAAGAACTTAGCAAGCGCTTCAACATTGCGCCTGCACCACTCTCCACCCCTTATCGCACTCCAGGACCCAACCACAAACCTGACAACAAAGCCCTATCACCTGCTGGGCTTCACACTTACCAGCAGCAGTTGGGATGCCTGCTCTTTGCATCTGTCACCTGCAGGCCCGACCTCTCCTACATCGCGAGCCAGTTGGCTCAGTACTCACGCAAACCAACGGCTGAGAATCTCTCAGATCTTCAGCGTGTCAAACATTTATCATATAGCCTTATCTAGGCTGTAGTGGGGTAGACTCTAAGGGGTACGGTTTCCTAGGGTTTCATACTTGTACCCTTCTCATTTCCTAGTGAATGATTCCTCATTCTTAACACAGCGAGCTCTTCAACTCTTCATCTCCACGCCCAGCGTCGGGCTCTGTTACTCCACCATTCCAGCTACATCCTTCAACCTCATCGGCTACGTGGACGCCGATCACGCCGCTGACCCTGACAATCGACGGTCTAGGACAGTCTTCCTTTTCCGCCTCGAGCCCAGCGGCCCCATCTCCTGGAATTCGCAGAAGCAGGAGCTGGTTGCCCTATCATCAGCGGAGGCCGAGTTCATCGCAGCAACAGCAGCAGTTCGCGAAGGCCTCTACCTTCAGGAGCTGCTGCAGGAGGCGAAAATCCCTGCCTCAGCAAACTTTCGCCTGCACTGCGACAACCAGAGCGCGATCAGGATCGCGAACAAGCCAGGATTCGTCAACCGCACCAAACACATCGCGCTGCGGTACTTCTTCGTCAAAGACGAAGTTGACAAGGGCAAGGTTGACCTAGCCTACTGCCCGCCGGGTGACATGGCGGCAGACTTCCTCACGAAGAAACTGCCACGCCAGCAGTACCAGCACTGCTCCGAACTCAGCGGAGTAGTCAAGCGGGTCTAGACTCGCTACGGCCAGGAGTGAAGGGGGGTGTTACGAATAGTGATTAATTGAAACACTACTGTACACTCCTCTCCGCAGCAACCGAAGCACGCACTACTGAGAATGAAGGTGAAAGGGCGCAAGTGACGCGAAGAGTCACACGGTTACAAAAAGCATCTGGACCGTCGGGCAGACAGCATCAGGCAGCAGCAGTGGCGAGGATTCTGCCCGAACAGTTACGTAACCACTCGGAGTCGCACGGTTGGATTTCGCTGTAATAAGGGAATGTACCCCTTAGAGTACATGGCTAGCTAGGTCGTTTCGAATTCCCTTGTACTCTTATTTATATTCCTTGTACTGCATGATTTTAATTATCTCAAGCATTTACATTCACTCTGCTATTGAGGTCAAGGGCCCACCACCACTAGACTAGAAGTGTGCGAACCTTCCTGAGGTGATCCTGGTTACGATCATTTTCTGATCGCAGCAATACCGGCGTTTACAATCACAGACAGTAATACATCGAAATGAAGACTTGTAATCCGTTAAAAAAAAGCCATATAGCCTTAACTATCAAACAAACGCCACAAACAAAAAACACACAATGTCAAACCGCAAAGCTATCCTAGTGATAAATTATTTGAATTAAATTATTTTACCCTGTGATAATTATATTTCCGAATATTAAGAACTAGAGCTAGAACAAGTTACAATAATTTTAATATCAATTTGAACAATATTAATTTTGCATATGACAGACAATAAAAGTTGCATAAAATTAAAACATTTTATTGATATAATAAATAATATATTAAAGGCATGATATGGACTGTATTAACAGATGATTTAATCCCAGTAATTAAATAGTCAGGCTACATTTTATTTTCCAGAATATCCGTAAGATACTTGCTGTAATACTGATAGGAAATTATATCGAATACGAGCATGTAACGTTTTACTTAACAGAATTGCGCATTGTGTGGGTGTATACGTGGACAGTCATTTTTCTTTTGCTGAGTCAATCCTTGTCAGAGGTCCACTGGTGATCCCCGGTCGATCCTAGGGAAGGGTTACAGGCACGTTGGCCTGGGGGGTTATGGGCGCACTGACCCGCTACTTAACAAGCCCTTTTATCCCAGTGGTCTAGTGGCTGGGATTCTGACAAACCTGACCTGTACGGTGTACAGTCTGGTTGGAACGCGAAGTTACCAGCCAGAATTTCCGGATGCACTGTTCATTACCATTGAGGCAATAATGTTGACCATCTCGGCAATGCTGGTTACCATGCTGGCGATGAGAAGACATCTCTGTTACGATTTTGACACGTAGCTTACCTTGCGTGCGATTGAGCTCCGTGAGTGTTACCGCTAAGATAAATGCCCCTTCTGTAAAGTCTGAAGGTTTTCTTGAAAGATCAACAGGTGTTGTGATAACCAGTCTGGACTGCAACGCTGTCAGCAGGAGCCTCTGATTCCGCCAGCAGGATTGCGCGTGCCTTGTCAGCATATGTCAGCATTCCTGTCAAGGTGACCACCAGAACCACTATGTCTGATAGAAAACTGCCGCGACCCGTCAGAACATAGCTCCGAAATAAGACTTTCCCCTTCCCAGGCTTCCTGTCCGGCTCGTCAATGCCGTGCTTCAAAAAAAGGCCATATATTAGTCAAGATGATCAAGACAACCAGCACATCGATTCACACACACATTCCACTGGAACCCCAGGAATATCATCCCACTCCCCACCCCGCTAACCCGACCCCAAGAATCATCCAACATTCGCCATTTCGTACACTACTTCCTTCTTCCTAGTATAACGTTCAGACATCCGTCGTGGTGCATTCCAGATGTCTTCGGATTGGTGTGATATTACTTTGCTTCGGGCATCAGCTTCTTGAAGTTAGTCTTCGCAGTATAGAGCGTAGCAGGCTTCCAATCGGCGGGAATGACGTCAGCGAGAATGATCACTTCCAGCGTGTGCCCCGCGGTGAGGCGAACGCTCATCGCCTTCTTCGCACTAGTTACCGCCTTCGCCTCCGCGCCCGCGAGCACCCACACGGCCTTGCTGCCGTCGCGAGCGAGCTTCGTCCACTTCTTGCCGCCGTCCGCGCTCATCTCGACGAGCTGCAGCGTGCCGGGCCCCGCCAGCCCCACCATCTGAATGGCGAAGTTCTCCGCCGTCGCGTTCTTCCGCACGCGCACCGCGGAGACCACAGTCGACACGTAGTTGGTGCGCACGTACGTGACGTTGACGGGAGCGCCGGCGATGTCGGCCTGCACGATCTTCCCCCACGCCACGCGGGACAGGGACAGCTGCTTCTCCGTCTTCCCCTCGCCCACCACGCGCACCGTCACGGGCTTGTCGCGGCACCGCTTCGTGTTGTTCACGCAGCTCACCTTGTAACACACGCCGAAGCGCTTGTGGAAGGCGGCGGGAGGAAGCTTCACGGTAAGACCCTTGCCAAAGAAGGGGTTGGCGGAGTAGTTGCCGTAGTACGAGCACGTGGTATCCTTCCCCTGGCTCATGCCGTTGCTCCGCCTCGCGCTCGTCAACGTGAGGCTCACGCCGGCAGACCCGACACGGTTTGGGTGAGTCGCGTTTGCGCCCGCAGTCTTGTTTACGGCCGCAATCTTGTTTGCGGCGGCAGTCGCATTTGCTGCGGGAGTGGCAGCGGCGGCGGAGAGGAGCGCCGCGGAGGCGAGGCAGACGAAGAGAAACGAGGCCTTCACGGCCGCCGGGATGAAACGAGCCATTTTTATTTTCCTGGGATTTTCGCGAGAAGCTGAAACGGGCTTACAGGTAATTGCGCTATCTGTTACTATTTGTGAGTAAAAGACAGTAAGAGGACGATTCGAAGTGCTGATGAGAATAGTGAGACCCGTCGTGCTTTCTATACTTCACTTGTGCAGAAATGAGAGCGTGCGTAGGGTCCCGAAATCCCGGCCGCCGTGAGTTGCGGGGAGATAAGAGGTTCAGTGCAGGTGGTTTGCTTGCTTGTGTGGGAGTCTGCGGGGCGAAATCTACCGACTTGGCGAGTTGGCTTCGCATAATGGTAGCGAAAAGGGGTAAACTGTGTGCTCCTCACTCTGTCGATCGCGTAACCTGCGATGTGTATTTTTTTCGTCGATTCGCGCGACCCAATAATGTACAATTATCCGCTCGCGCCGTGAAATCTTACTTTCGAGCATTTGATGAAACCACTGCAGCTTGGTCAGCGGCGTGTAGAATGAGCAGCTTCCCACTAGTGCTACAGTACTTCTTCCAGCTCCTTTTCCGCGAGGGTGGCATGCACACTGTGTTTAGGACTTGTACTCCATGTATGAATCGAAAAGCAATCCTGCGGACATGAATTTGACATGATTTGCAATGCTCAAAGCAGTAGTACCAACCCTCCCTCCCACTCCTGCTATGAGCTTCATCTCATCTCAACTCCAGTGTCCCTTGTTCCTCAGAATAAAAACACTATGCAGGCCTACAACCATACAAGGTTAGAGATCATTATATTCGTGATGCTTCTGCCTTTTGCAGTCACAGCCAGAGACTGTGGCATGTCATCGTAACTTTTGGTGGCAACCACCTCTGCATCCTCACTCGTAGACGTCCGCTGCACCTCCACCACACACGGGCGCGACCCGTCCATCAGCCCAAAAAACTCAAATTCAAATGTGATACTGTAGTCATCGCCATCCTGGTTCACTATATAGATAGAGATGAAGTTCTTATCGGGGTTGAAGAACGACGCAACGCAGTGGTGACAGCCGTTAGTCGTCTCGATTCTCAACGGCATGCTCCCTCTTGGCGACGCCCGAGCCATCTGCTTCATCATGTGAAACTTTTTCGAGAATGTAATCTCCAGCGGCACGACAGCAGGATCAGACACATTGTTGTGCGTTATTGTAAACAGCCCCCACTTGGCAGAGTTGGGGTTATTCGGGAGGTAAGGGTTGATTGCCTGCCAGTAAATCCACGCCGAGGCTCCCATGATGTTGATCGCCTGAATCGCCGACCGCGCCATGAACAACCCAACGTCGGTGTCCTCCCCTCCCACCCACATCGGCCCAATCTCCGACACCCACACCTCCTTCCCCACACTGATCCCCATCCGTGCTAACCCCACATACAACTTCTCTATAAACTCCCTGGTATCCGTGGTGGTGGGTGGTGGCGGGACATACCCATGCACCGAAATCCTCTTCAGACCGGATAGTAACTGCCCGGAAAATAGATTCGCGTTTCGCATCGTGAACCCGACGAAGCTGTCGAACCCCGCGACGCGCGTCGAAAGCTTCTTCCGTTGCAGCGCACCCGCCACGGCCGTGCAAAGCCTATCCAGCTCAGCAGCAGTGTAACTGCAACCCTCGTGCCGCCCCCCCTGCGACCACCACCCCTCCAGCGGCTCATTCGCCGGATTCATCGTGCTGAACGTCACGTTCCACTTGTGGCGAAAATGGGCAACTATTGTCGATAGATACTCCGCAAACTCGCCGTACATATCCGGTCGGAGATTCGATTTGCCGCCCACATTCCCCGACGTATCCCCACTGATGGTCATCCACCAAGGGGCTGAATAAGCGATTGCCTCCACCTCATCTACACCTCTCTGCACCGCTCCTTTCAGAACTCTCCGCTGGCGCCAGTCTGCCGCCCAGTCGTACGGGGCGGCCTTGCTCGGCTTGTAGCCGGGGAGGTTGGCCTGGTGCATTGTGTCTTTGGTGAGCTGCGGGCTGTTGGTGGCGTTGAAGCTGGCGCCCAGCAGGTAGCGCGCGAGGTTGAACCCGATGCCCGTGGGTGTATAGGAACGGAAGTTCTAAGAAACTTCTTCCTGATAAAGTTGGGGGCTACGCACATGAGGGTACTTTTAAGAAACTTTGTTCCGATAATGTCTTATTCGGGGTAACTCCGCGCTGGCTGTACTGCGAACAATCCCAAGGCGGGGTGATTGAAAACAAATGTCAGAGAAACTTCCTCTGGTCAAATTCGGGGTCCACAGAGTCGATACTTCTCAGAATAGGAATGCAACGGAATGGTTGGAATTAGGGTTTGCAAGGGTACAAATAGGAATCCTACAAAAGCTATACTCTCTATGGAGTACCTCACTGCAGCCTATCATAACATTAACATTTGACACACCCCCATAGGCTAAGTGAGGGACATCAGAGCAAGCAAGGTGAAACAAAATGGTCACAAGACCAGTCAAGGCAAGAAGCAAGGCAAGCTCAGGGTGGATCTCAAAGACACCACACAAATTCTGAGCACAAGCAAGCGGCCACAAGGCCAGTTCAAGAGTTCACTAGGATATAAATAGGAGAACACAACAAGCAGAGCAAGCAACAAGACTACAGCAACCGAGGGCCTACCTCAACAAGCCCCAACTGCACACAGAACCTGTGGTGGTCACCAAGCGCCAAGGCCTTGGTGAAGACGTCTGCAGTGTTGGCCTCTGAGGCCACAAAGTCCAGGCGTGCCTGGCCGCGTCGCTGCAGCTCTCGCAGGAGGAAGTACCTCACGTCAATATGCTTCACTCTGCTCTCCAGTCGAGGCTCTCGACACAGGAGGATCATGGCCTTGTTGTCAGCGTACAAGGTCGGTGCAGAGCGAGGCCGCTCACCAAGGTCGGCGAGCAAGAAGGTCAACCAGCGAAGCTCCTGTGCCGCCATGGCACCCGCGTAGATCTCTGCCTCTGCACTGGAAGTAGCCACAGACGACGACCGTGTAGACCTCCACGACACAGCACCAGCTCCCAGACTGAAGCAGTAACTCTGAGTCGACGCTGAGTCTCCACGTCGTCAGCGTAGGAAGAGTCACAGTGACCAGTCAACGCCACTGGCTGAGTCCCTCCAAGCACAAGCCCCATGCCTGATGTAGTCGCCAGGTACTTCGCCACCCTCACAGGAGGTGTCCAGTGGACAGGACGGTGTCTCCCAGTCGCAACAAAGCGAGAAAGGATGCTGAGGGGAAAGGCGAGGTCCGGTCGAGTACAAGTCATCAGGTACATGAGGCAGCCCAACAGCTCTGCGTAGGGTCCACTGGACTCAAAGGGCTCGTCAGGAAAGGGGCCCGTGAGTCTGTGGTCAACAGCAAGAGGAGTGGGCTGTGTGGTGGAGAACTGGAAGTCGAACCGCCGAAGGACTTGCTGCACAATATGTGACTGCGTCAGTGTGATGGTGCGAGCGGCTCTGTCCCGGGTGATCTGCAGGCCAAGGTAGCGCTGCAACTCACCCAGGTCAGTGCACTTGTGTCTCTTCTGCAGTTCGGACTTCACCTGAGCCAGGGCTGCCATGTCTGCTGTAGCAAACACCAAGTCGTCGACGTAGACAAGGATAAAGAAAGGAGTAGAACCCGCTCGAACAAACAGCGACGGGTCGGCGGAGGACGGGCTGAACCCAAGGTCACAAAGCGTGGAGCGAAGAGTGTCGTGCCACTCACGGGGCGACTGGCGGAGACCGTAGACTGGTCGCCTCAGGCTCCACTGGGTCCCAGGTGGGAAGGTGTCAGTGAAGCCAGGAGGACGGCGCAGCCAGATCTCCTCGTGCAGTCGGCCCTGGAGGAACGCAGTGGAGAAGTCGAGGGAGTGCAGCTCGTAGTCTCGCTGCGCTGCTATGTGGAGTAACACCCGAAGAGTAGTCATCTTCGGGGTCGGGGCGAAGGTCTGGAAGAAGTCAACTCCCTCACGCTGACTGAAGCCCCTAGCCACGTAGCGCGCCTTGAACACCGGCGGTGCTCCAGGCGGCCGCTTCACCTTGAAGAGCCACATGCCATCGACTACGTTCGCCCTGGGAGGGGGAACTGCGTCGACGTAGGTGCCTGTGGATCTCCAAGACGCCAACTCTGAGTCCATAGCCGCTTTCCACTGAGAGGCCCACGCCCCTGACACTGCTTCGCGGTAAGTGCGAGGAGTCGGTATGTCAAGGGCGTCGGGGTCTCCCTCAGGGGAGAGCAGCATGGCACACACAGAGGGAGAAGAGGCTGCCCAGTACTCCAGCTCAGACTCTCTGTCCTCTAGGACGTCACAGCCAAGGGCAAACCCACCCCCGACGGACAGAGGACGGTAGGGAGGAGCTGGCACCACACGGGTGGCGTAGTCAAGGCGGCTGGCGGCAGCAAACTCAGCGACAGCGGCAGTAAGAGCCGAGGCAGACGACGGAGGGAAACGAGAGTCGGTGACAAGAGTGGCGAGGACACGTGCGGCAACAGGACGAACAGTGCGGTAGTAGTCAGAGATAGGAGTGGGGAGGGCTGGGAGAGAGGACGGAGGAGGAGACGGGAGAACGGACACAGGAGAAGGAGAACGACGACGAGACGAACAAAGGAGGGCAGTGTGGAGGTCAGTAACAGGGGACGAGTGACGAGCATGCGGAGGACAACGAGTGATCAAGTCGTGAAGGACAGAAAGAGGAGACTGAGGAGGAGGAGAAGACCAGACCGCCGGACGGTCGTCAGGAGGAGGCAACGGAGGAACAAACACAGGAGGAGACTGGGAGCGGACAAGGAGAGAGGAGGAAAGGCCAAGGGCCCGCAGGCCACTCACAGGTGGGAACAACTGCCGCTCCAGAGGAAGCTGCGGTGGCTGCTGCGGCGGCGGCTGCGGCTGCTGCTGCTGCGGCTGCGGCGGCGGCTGCGGCTGCTGCTGCTGCGGCTGCTGATGCTGCTGCTGCTGCTGCTGCTGCTGCTGCTGCTGCTGCTGCTGCTGCTGCTGCTGCTGCTGCTGCTGCTGCTGCTGCTGCTGCTGCTGCCGCTGCTGCTCCAGAAGGTCCAGCACCCGCAGCTCCTGCCGCTCCCTCTCCAACCGCTCCTGCTCCTCACGCTCACGCCGACGGGCAGCCTGGAGACGCGTGTCGTGGCGGTGGGGAGGCGGAGTGGACTCCGCAGAACCAGGGTCTCCAGCTCCAGTCTCCTCAGACTCAGCACCCCAGAACCAACACCTCCAGTGTCAGGACCTCCAACTCCAGCACCCCCAGAACTAGCACCCCCAGTGCCAGCACCTCCAGCTCCAGCAACCTCAGGGCTAGCGCCACCTGCGCCAGCCCCTCCAGCTCCAGCACCCCGCGAACGAGCACCCCAAGACCGCGCACCGCCAGCGGCTGCACCTCCAGCTCCAACACCAACCAAGTCCACAGGAACCTGTCGCGGAAGTGCCGAAGGCTGCTGAGGGGACTGTGAGGAGGACTGCGGGGAGGGAGACGCTACCTGACGCGCGACCGAGGGTAGAGGGGTAGCGTGGGACACACCAGACGGGGCAGGACCAGGGGGGGGAGGGGGTACCGGAGGAGCAGGAGCAGGAGGAGGAGAGGGTGCTAGGAAAAGGGGGGGAGGGGGTACCGGGAGACCTCGACAGGGGTACCAGGTGTAGTAGGACACAGACTCGTCAAACCGGACGTCACGGGAGTCTAGGAATTGGTGGAGAGGCGGGTGGTAAAAGGACCAGTCGGCAGAGTCCACTGGGAAACCAAGGAAGACACAGGGGACGGCGCGTGCCGAGAGCTTGTCCGCGGAGGTGTCGCGAACAAGCGCAAGGCAGCCCCAGACTCGAAAGGCCGACCCAACACCAGGGGAACCAGTCCAAAGACTGGTCGGTGAAGCCTCGGGCCGCGAGACACGCGGCTGGAGGTTCAGCTGGTGTGCGGCGTAGCGAACCGCGTGGGGCCACAGAAAATGGGGCGCACGAGCATGGATCATGGACGTGCGGGCGATGTCCATGACCAAGCCTATGCGGCGCTCAACAACCCCATTCTGCTGTGGGGACTCAGGCAGCGTCCAGGACTGTGTGATGCCCTGTTCGCCGCAGAATCCGCCGAGAATGCCGGAGCGAAACTCGCCCCCACGGTCGGAGTGGAGACAACTGACTCGACGACCACGAGTGCCCTCAGTGGCTAGAAGCCACCTGATCAGCGTAGTAGTCACCTCGGACTTCTTCGCAAGAGGGAACACTGTGGTGTACCTGGAGTAGTCGTCGACGACCACCAGAAAGTAACGCTCCCTCCCAGACCCCTGCGTTGGGGCAGGGCCTCAGACGTCCAAGTGGAGAGTCTCGAAGGGAGCGGTGGCCGGACGAAGGGAGGAGGAGTGGGGAGTGGCGCGTAAGCGACCGGCGACGCACGGAGAGCAAGGAGGGGCAAGCGAGGGAGGGAGCGACGGGAAGGTGCGTGGGAGACCTGTGACGAGTCCCTGACTGAGCATGCCACGAAGGCGAGGGATCGACGGGTGGCCAAGGCGGTGGTGCCACAGGACGGTGCGGTGGGCGAGAGAGCGACAGGAGCAAGACGTAGCGACTGGACTGGACACAGCGACCGGACTGGACACGACTACCTGGCTAGACACAGCAACTGGACTGGGGACCTTGGCCGGAGGGGACGCAACGACCTGAGGGGAGGACGCGACCGAGGAGCGCTCGGTGTGGAGAACGTAGAGACCGGAGTGGGGCTCCCTGGTGAACAGCACCTGTGGTAGCGTCTGTACAGACTGCAGTCCGCCCACCCCCCACGAAGGTAACCGTGATCCCCCTGTCCTGGAGGTATCCAACACCCACCAAGTTCCGAGTGAACGAGGGGATGTGGAGGCCGCGCAGGACACCAGAGGGGACCACAGGGCACGGGAGGGTGGTGGAGCTACGCGCAACGGCTGGTCCATGTTGGAAATGGACACTGGAATGGCCCAAAGTGGTCTTCCCAAGGGCTACAGGTGTCGTCCTGGGAGGGTATGGGT